AGAGGGAGCGGGGAAGATTGTGGGCGGAGCGGGGTAGATTATGTTGGCAGGGCCAAACTTGTGGGAGGGACCAGAAGAGAAGGGGCTGGGGCAGAGGGAGGGGGCAGGGTATATTATGGGCGGGGCCAGAGGGAGGAATTTTGGGGGGCGGGCCTTGTGGGTAGGTCCAGAAGGGGGGGGCTTGAGACAATGGGGCAGGGCTAAAAGGGGGCAGAGGAGATGGGAGTGGTCAGCGGGGAGGGTGTGGCCAGCAGGGATATTGAGGGGTCCTCCCCACACACCCCCCATGGGTGCTAGCAGGGCCTGGCCTCGCCTCTCCCCAAGCAGCCCCTGACCCTGGGGTCTGCCCTGCTTCCCCTGTTGCTCTTCCAGGGAGATCTGGGTCCCTTTAACCCGGGGCTGCCCGTGAAGGTGCCGCTCTGGCTGGCCATTAACCTGAAGCAGAGGCAGAAGTGTCGCCTGATCCCTCCTGAATGGATGGACGTGGGTAAGGAGACCAACCGCTCGGAGCTGAGGCCTGGGGGGAGCTCATCCGTGGGGCTCTTGGGACGTCCTGCAACGTTTGTTCCCCTCCTTTAATGGGGAGATCCCCGGAGCGAGTGAAACTGGGCCCCTCTGAGACTCAGCAGTGCTGCACAGCGGTTGTGACCTAAAAAGCCCCGGGCCCTCCACCACAGCAGGCTCCAAGACATGTCGTTAGAACAGGTTCCCGGTGCGTCATGGTATTTTAACCAGCCAAGGAGTCATTACAGCAGGGAAACGGTGCTCCGACACTACCCCCAGCCCCGTCCTCGCTCCCTGTGCCTTGCTTTGGGAAGACAGGAATGCCACCTGCTTCCCTGAGCACCATTGCTGGCTTGTCGCGGGCTCCGGTGTCTGTACAAGTGCAGCCTGCTGTTAATTGCTCCTTTACCTCCCTTTAGCACCTTCCCATCCGGCTGCGTCCTGAGGGTAGGGTGCCTGCGGAGCACAGAGGCGCTCTCATTTACTTGGGGACATGCGATCCTGCGGGGGCGTCAGGAATAGAAGCAGCCCTGACGCAACGCAGTGATGCTGCTGGGTGGAATAAGGGCCCGAGCTCCCTCCCGTCCAGCCACCTTGAGAGGAACGTGCGGCTGAGAGCAGGGACAGGGATGGTGCCTCGGTGCTGCTGCCTGTCCGCTCCCAAGGGCATAGAATTGACACACCAAGACCTGACTTGGCAGAAAGGTCCCCTTGAGGCCTTCTCCCAGCATGCGGAGCTGAGTGCCGGTGCCTCTTGTCTTTGTTTTGGGTTGAAAGGAGTTACTTTCTGCCTGACGAGCTAGGGCTCCCATGGTAAAGCTGCCAAGGGTAGCAGACCAGAGCTGGAAGAATAGTCTCCCCTCTTGCAGGAGCCGTCTCCACCTGGTCCAAGGGTGCTGCTTCTGCTGGGAGGAGATAAATCCAGAGCTGTGGAGCATCTGGCAAAAGCCTGACTCTCCCCAAATGTGTTTCAGAAAAGCTGGAGGCCATCCGGGATCAGGAACGCAAGGAGGACACCTTCACCCCGATGCCCAGTCCCTACTACATGGAGCTCACCAAGCTGCTCTTAAACTAGTAAGTCGCTTTCTTGTAGCCAGGTGGAAGTACTTTCTTCCCTGGGAAAATACCCAGGAATATGATGCTGAAAAACTAGTGAGGTTATAGGGGATGTAACTGCAGACCCACAGGGAAGCGTTCTAGCAGGAGGCCTACGCAGACCACGTCAGGGTTTTGCTAGAGCACTCGGCTTATCACAGCCTTTGGATCTGTTCACCTGGTGTCACTTGTTATGAAGTCTGATAAGGGCTCCCGTGCTCTGTTGAGGGGCAGCTGAGTGTACTGACCTTGGGTGGAGAGGCCACATGCTCTGGCTTTGTGCAGACCCTTGATTGCTGCGGGAGGCCCAGCAGCCTAATCCTTCCCAGTCTGCTGCCTTTGTGCTGTCCTTTCCTAGCCTGGTACACACAGGTCAGGAATATCCCAGGCAGGACTCGCGTCCCCCGAAACATTCCCATTGCACACAGTCTTCTGGCCAGTAATTTACTGAGCACTGACTCTTCTCTCCTCAATCCCCTGCTCAAGGTCACTTGAAGCACTAATTGCTTCCTCCTGAGATCTCAGCAGATCCCATTGTTGCATTACAATAACCCGTGGCTGTGCTCGTGTGAGCTGCTTTGATCTCTGGAGGTCTATGGGGCTGTGCCAATGGGTCCAGCTAATGTGGTCCCAAAAGCTGTGGGGTCAGTGATGAGCGTACAGTGCCGACCTCTAGCTCTCATCGCAGCTGAGCCATTTAAATTGGCTGTTTATGTGCGACTTTGGCCAGGTTATTGTACCTCCTTGGCCTGAGACCAGCTGGGCTCTCACAGAGCAGAAGGACTGTGCTGCCAACCAGATGCTGCTGCAGAGTTCAGATTTTCTGGGTAAATAAACGATCCTGAAAAAGCCCCGGCAGCAGCAGCACCAGCTTGGCTTTTAGTGCTGAGTTCCCTTTTTTTTTTTCTCTTTTCATAAAGCAAACTGCTCTGCTTATGCCTTCGAGGTTTGAGAAGCTGCCAACATGACTTATGCCAGTGACTTAATGTATTAGTCCCTTGCAGCCTGTTCTGATCCGCGCTCTCCTCCTCCTCCAGCGCCTCAGACAACATCCCGAGAGCAGATGAAATCCGAACACTGGTGAAGGATACCTGGGACACGCGCATTGCAAAGCTGCGGCTGTCTGCGGACAGCTTTGTCAGGCAGCAGGAAGCCCATGCCAAGGTACGGGGTGGATCGAAAGGCTTGCTAGTCCCTTCGACGGGTGGCCAAGATGCGCTGTGATTGTGCAAGTCTCTGGCCGATCAGAGCCACAGACAGACGTGCCAGGGGTCAGTTGAGAACTAAAGCCATATGCTTAAGCTTCCGTTTGCGGCCAGGCTGCAGCAGTTTGCATGATGACAACAGCACCGTTGTCATGTTCCTCTCTGCTGGGCCTGCCCCTTGGGATGCAGCCAAAGGGCATATACATGTCTTCATTGTTCAAGCGGCTGTCCCAGTTCCTTTCCTTTGGCTGGCCTTTGCTGTCACAGAAGCCCTCAGGCCTCCCCTATAACAATCCCCCTCCTTGGTTTTTCTTTAGCTGGACAACCTGACCTTGATGGAGATCAACACAACTGGGACGTTCCTCACTCAAGCCTTAGATCACATGTACAAGTTGCGGACAAACCTCCAGCCTGGCGAGAGCACCCAGTCTCAGGATTTCTAGCCTGGGACGGGACAGTGACGGCTGCTACTTGGACTGTATGCATGAGTCCTGCTGCACCTTCCTTAAGGCCACTGATCTCCTTCAGCGCCCCTGGCAGACTGCCACAACCTTCTGGAAACCCACAGCTTTGGGGCAGCTGTAAGTGGCCTAGTTGCTGCACAAAGGCCGGAGTTCCCTGGTGCCTGCGTACTAATTAGTCCAAGGCTGCTGTTAACCCAGGGCACTCCCTGCTCAGCAGCTTTCCAGCCCACCCCTGCTTTTGGAACAGCCTTGCAAAGCAAAAGTGCTTGCCTGGCAGACCCCCTCCCCCGGCTCCTGTGCAAGATGAATCGGCTGCAGAACTCGGGTGCGGCCGGGAGGGGTTGTTTTCTCCCACTCCCTCATGCTTTGCTGCTTGGGCTGTCTGCTTCAGCTACATGGAGCAGCAGTAAATCTGCTCCTTTCTTTCCCTGGGGATGTGGGAGTGCCTGAGGGCCCTGCCTGCTGCTGGCTGAAAATGAAGATGGAGAGGGGCTGGTTTAAACACCTGGTTGGGTGCCAGCTGTCCCCACCTAGCAGTGAACAACAGGCTTAACCCACTCCTGGCTATTGCTTGCTGGCTCTGGGGACAGGCAATGGAGAGGTCTGCAGGGCTGGCTTGCCAGGCTCACGTCATGGATGTGAGGGAGAAATACAAGGCAGCAATGCATGTTGGCAGGGGAGGAGCCCTGACAGGCGGTGGGGGTGCTGTTCCTGCTGGGGACTTTGCAGCAAATGCTTCTTGCTCCCTCGTTTTCAGTGTCTGGTTGGGAAAGCCAGGTCATCTTGGTATCAAGGGGGCAGCATGGGGATGGAGCAGGCGGTTCTTGCCATGCCGCTACCTGCTGGCCATTCAGCAGGCTGACTAGTAACTGGGTCCAAACCCCTTTGGGAGGTGGGGGAAGCCATGGGATTTTGAAAGATAGTGCATTGGGGTTTTTTTAGCTGAAGACACATACTTGTATAGCAAATAAATGGCAAAGATGTTTCAAGGGGAGCGCCTGATCTGTGTAAGAGGAACTCGGGGTTTCCCTTGAATATATGCTGGAGCATTGCCTCAGCCGTGAATGTACCTGTCTTGATGGATGTACTGGTCTGGTCACAGTGGGGTCTAAAATGCCCCCAAGCCATATGTAGCTGGCTACAGACACGGCTCATTCTTCAGCGATCAGGCATCAAGCCTGTCTGGCTGCTGTGGGCTCCATGCAGCCGTGTTCGGTCATGCTGCCCTAGCTCAGCACTCCCTCCACGCCTTCCCCCCCCAGCAGTCGGCTTGTTTTCCCAATGCCTCCCAGTGCCTGCAGCCATCCCTCCCCTGAGCTGCCAGGGTCTCCAAGATAGATGCTGGTTACTCACATCTATCAGGATGATTGAGTGGCGGGAAGGGAAGCACTCATGGGATGTAAGGAGGGGGCATGATACTGAGCTCACTGCTCCTCCTCGCCCAGGCAGCATACTTCCCTTCTCGCCTTCACTGCCTCCACAGCCTGCACCACCCGGCTGACCCTTGGCACCATCTCCTACACTAAGGCCAAGTCTGCCTCCAAAGCTAAGTCAGGGCCCTGCCCACATCAGGCTTTGTAGCAGAGCAAGGCGACTCTTACAGCCGCGAGCAGGAGGGAAGAAGGATCCCGACTGTGATTTAGGAAGAGTTTATTTTTTTTTTGGATGTTGTCAGAAATTACAGCAATATATTCATAAATACCTAAGTACTACATTCACCAAGAATATATTACATTACAATTAATCCAAACAAGTACACTTAGAACAGGTTTAATTTGTCTTTCACAGCATCTAAACTGCCCCCAGCAGGCCCCGGGCATCCTCACACCCACTCTCCCGTGCTCTGTTTTCTAGCCGTTCTGCACAGGCAACACACAAATAAGCAGAACCAGGGGGCCACAGCCCCGGGGGCAGGGGAGAGCAAGGGGAGTGCTTCTGAGACACCCAAAGCACTGGGTCAAGAACGTGATGATTGGCTCCCACCTTCCATACGGAGGGAAAAAAATCAGAACGTCAACAGTCTCAAGTACAGGAATTGCTGCCAAGGAGGGTAGGGATCGGACCAGGCTCCTAACTGCTGCCACCTACCAGGGCACTGGCACAAGCCCTCGGCGGCGTACCAGTGAGGATGGAGAGCTCACCAATGAAGGTTACGTCTCACAATCTGGGAGTGGGGGGACAGGACAGTGGTTAACACAGGTTCTAGTTTTTCTCTTGTGTTTAAAAATACATGCTGCCATCTGAGTCGGCCGCTCGTGGGCCAAAGGCTGCCTACACAAGCTGGGTTTAAAGTGGCCGAGTCTCTCTGCTCTTGCAAGGGTGGGCTGCTTTTTGGTACGTTAAAACCACTGCCAACACATGAGCTTTTTTTTAAAAAACTGGTTTGGAAAGCCACTTTGCAAAGGCCCCCAAATGGTGCTGTCTCCCATCTGTTTCCCAAAGCCCCTGCTCAGATTCTGGGTGTACGAGGACTGGGAAAGAGACTGAAGCCGTCCCTGTTTTTGCTGCATGCTGCGTTCGAGTCCCGGCCGCCTGCATCACTAAGAGCTGGGCACGGCTTTTCCTGCCGGCAGTCGTGTGACAGCTACAGGTGTTGCCACCTGAACTACCCTGCCAGGCACCTCCCGACTGCTAGCAGCAAGCAGAAGGGAGGCAGCTTTGCTTTTCAGGTGCATTGGGGTGGGGTGGCAGCCTCGTGAGGAAAGGGTCAAGGTGTGGGGTAAAAAAGGAACAAAGTGCAAAGCGTCTATGACTCGAGCAAGAGGCAACACTTGCAACCATCCCACCCGGAGCAAAGGGGATGCGTGGCACTTCTGTACCCGCCGGTGGACCTGAATTTGGCTGGACCTGCTGCGGACAGGCACCACAGGTCCCTTTGCAAATAGGCTACCGAAAAATAAACCTTCCTAGTTGCGGAGGCGCAAAGTCGCCTCCTGTAAATGCGGTGACAGCAGTGGCTGGCCTCCGCTCTGACGCTGCCTGTGCCACACATATCTCCCTGTACTCCCTCTCTGCTGGGCTGAGGGGGTTTCTCCTGCTCCATCTCACGTGAAAGACAGTGGCAGCCCTATAGCAAAGGAGAATTGCGCTTGTGGCTTCGGCCGCATCTTCTGCTCAGCTCTCGGAGGCAAAAGGACCTCAAACGCGGTCGGCCTGCCCTAGCCTGTCTGCAGGCGGCACTGGCCTCACAATAAGCCAAGGAGGGCTGCTTGCCTGGAGGCTCAGTGTTTGCACTGCACTAAGTACCAAGGAGAAAGAAAAGGGGCTAGAGAGCAGTCGGGCTGGGGGACGCTTTCCCCAGCCGTGCTGCAGGACAGGCTTTGCTTTGCTTTGATTGTCTTGGCCATGGTTGAGGGCACAGGAAGCTCTGTCTCCCGCTGTGAAAAGCAGCGAGCCATTGCCTGAGGGTTTGAGGAACCCAGTGCCGCAGCTAAGACCCAGGCCTCTCTGCTCTGCCATCCTAGCGGCTGCCGCCTCAGCTCCACGGGAGCTTGGAAAGCGCTTGCCAGTGACAGCTGCGAGCATGGAGCTGCAAGATCCTTCAGGCAGGGGAGAGCCCAGCCTTTAGCCCCACGTGAGCTGGGGCCTGTTGGAGCTGGCACTTCCCCCAGGAGCAGCACAATGGATCCAGCTGCTTGCCTGCTCAGTGGCAGCTGCGGGGATGCCAAAGCAAAATGCCAGCAGCAGGCACAGGGGCAGGGCACCTTGGGCAGGCTGCCTCAGCACCCGGGGCATGGGCTTTCCAGCCCTAGTGTGGGGAGCCTGGGCTGGCTTTTTTCCCTCTGTGCCCTTACCTGCGGGGTGAGAGTGGTGAAAAGGTAACATGAGATTTCATCAGAGAAGTGGAAGCAATCCTCAGCCCCAGTCCTTCAGTGGAGGAAGCAGCAAGAGAGGTCTTCCTATGCCAGGGTGCTACCGGGATTACCGGCTCACTGGGAGACCTTCCTGCCCAGCCTCCCATCGCTGGCGCTCTCCACCCCTGCTGTCCTGCCCCCGGCAAGCTTCTGCCCGGCAGCAGACTCCTCTTGCTAGCAAAGCTGGCCCGCCGTGCTTGTTCCCACACCGCCCCTGCTTCAACGCAGCGGGGCGCAGCTGGCACCAACCTTTCCCAGTTGCTGGAGAAGCGGGGGTGAAGTGGGAACCACCAGGGACGGGGCTGGGAAGGAATTCCTGGCCTTCTAGTAGCAGCCGTTTCTGTACGGGCAACCAGTGCTACACGGAGCACAGGCCCGGGTGTGCTAGCCCCAGCCACGGGGGGGAAAGCAGGCTGGGCTTTTTTTTGTCTCTTTTAAATCAGTGGTGGCCGTCCTGACTGGCAGCAGTACAAAACACGGGAAGCAGGGGACTCTCTTCTTCTTCGCAAGGAAAGAAAAGGAAAAAAAAAAAAAAAAAGCAGAACCATATTAAAAAGGGCAAGCTTTATACCAATAATTAAAGGAATAAAAACATACAAAACTTCTTTAATATATACAGTACAAGGCTGAAGCCCCTTTTAGGCTTTTTTTTTTTTTTTTTGAAATCGCAAAATCGTCA